TAAGTTCAATATAAAATATATATATAATAATATATATATAAAAGTATATAACAAAATTTTATTAATAGATAAGATTTTAATAATGATTAATTAGTCAGTAATAAATAGAACATATATATATATGTTATATATATATATAAATAGAACACATATATATATATAATAGAATATAGAACATAATCAGTAATAAAAAGAACATATTAAATGATCATAAATATCAAGATTTACTATAATATTTTTTATATAAATAATTTATTTACATTTAATTACATATTATCTTTGTTTTCATTATAACTACTTTAAGCAACTCTATATAATAAATTATATTATATTATTGTGATGGTTTCCATGGTATAATTTTTGGTTTTGTAGTAGTATAAGGCATATAAGCTTTATTGGTACCACTTAAATTTGGTTTATGATCTGCCATCCATTTATAATTTGGCCGACTTAAATCTTTAGAAGGAATTAAATCTGTTTTATAATGTAACCATCCAAACCATTCTGCTGGAACTTGAGATCCATCATAATCTAAATAAACTGCTTCAGAATATATTACCCATCGATTCCTACCTATTATATATAACAATAATAAAAATTTTGATTATAAATAATTTTTCAAGAAATTTATTCAATAATATGTCAATAATTAATTTATTCAATAATTATCAATAATATTAATATTCTTTTTTTTAACTAAATCTTGTTATAAAAAAAATATATTTATTAATATAATATATAATATTATTAATATAAATATATATTATTTAATTGAAATAAGAAAATATGATATAATAATAATTTAATATATTACAATATTATAATATATACAAATATTTTAATATATTTTTAATGTTTAAAAAAAATAAGTTTAAAAATTCAAATAGATAAATATTATTTTTAACAAATTTAAACATAATGATTTTTATATAATATAAATAAATATATATATATAAATAAACAACAATAATTACAACCATAAATTAATTAATATAATTAAATATTTATAATTAAATATAAAAATTCAAATTTCATAAATAAACGAACAATAATACAAAGACAAATTAATGCAATATTTTAATAAGTCATTGATATATTCTTTAGACTACAGAATATATGATCTATATATAAATGAACCTATATCACCATATAATATATCATTTAATCATCAACTTACCATAGAATAATGAATTATTTTCATAATATTTGTTTCCATATTTGTCTTCACCCATTAACGTACCTGCTTTTAAAGTATCCATTCTGAAAATATTTGGAATGTAACATGATTATTCACATTAAACTATTTTTATATATTTATATAATAAATAATTTGCAATATTCAATTAAAATTAATAATTTTATATTTATAAATATTTATTTATTTATAAATTAGATTTGCCAGTGTAGAATTTTTTAATAAGGCAATTATAAATAGAATTGATATAAATACTATTTAAATAAATAATAATATAATAACCTGAATAAAGTATAAACAGAATTTAAAATACCACCATTTGCTTTTATTATATTCCATAAATTATAAATTTTATCCACTCCTAACTGTTTCGCCATATTTGTTTCTAAAGATATACATTCACCATCTACATATATATATTGATACAAACATGTGGCTTTAACTATATAAATTTTATAGATGTCTTACTTTAAGTTTAATAAGAATTTTTATATGTCATGTACTTTTTTATATAATATAAATGTTTTTTTTATAATAATATGTGTAACAAAATGTCTTTTTTATTTTATAAATATATAATCAATCTTATGAAAATAGAGTATAAAATTATCAAAATATAAATTAAAATAATTTATTGTATTTTTGCTGATTTTACATTTAAAA